TATAAACTTGCCTTGTAGTTGGAACATGTTGGACATCATAAAGAAAATCTTGTAAGTGTTTAGATATTTTGCTATAATACCATGTCAGCAGATGAATGTTGAAGTAGTTTATTTTTGTGTATCAACATTAATTTGAAATTAAATATTAAGGGACTATATTATGGCTGTTTTTCTTTAAAAGTCCAGCATGATTTAGTAGGTATAGCTCTTTTAAACCATGCAGGGTATCCTTACGGAGTTTTATTTTTCATGAAACTAAGCGGTATTCATTTTGGTAGGTCCAAGAATATGATTAAAAGAATCCTAGTCGTCTCAATGTTTGCTCTGTTTTTATAACAGGTTCTACACATGGGTAATAGTGTGTAGATTTGAAGTTAAAATTATATAGAAAAGCACAATTACATGGAATTTTTGCTGATTTCTGTAAACTTTTAAATATCCTGGATATCCTGCTTAACTATAAAGATCTATTAAAAATGGCTATTACATACTTAACATAATTTTATTTCAGATGAACATATGCTTCAATTATAAAAAGTTGCTTAGAGACAAAGTTATACAGAAAGCTTATGATATGATGCGGTTTCAAATTATAAATAGATTTCTTGTAGTCGGACTAGTTAAAATGTTAGCTGCACTGCAGGTTTATTTCTCTGTTTTACATGGGAGAGCATAATGTTGAGATAATTCTGCGGTCTGTTATTTTGTAAAATTACTTCCTTTTTGAAGTTTGCTCAAATATTGGGAGCTGCCGGAGTGAATACTTCATAATACTTTGATTAATTTAGAATCTAATTTTATTTCAGTAAGGGTTAATGAGAATATTAAACCTTTTTATTGTTTTAACTACCTCATTTCTATACTTCTGAAAAACATTTTGACTCATATGAGATAATTTTTTTCTATTTCAGGTCATTACTCTGAGAAGTAGATAAGTTACAGATGCCAAATGCAAATATGTACAGCAATTTCATTTTTCAAGTTTTAGTGCAACAAAATAGCATATTATTATTTTCATTAATATAATGTCATCCGGAAAAGCTAGCAGTTACTTTATCCAAGAAACATACCTTTATGTTTAACAGGTTCATCTCTTATATGATTTTAAAATATGGTAACACTTACCCCAAAAGAAGTTTTGCTGACATGGTGTCACTGTGCTGAAGAGGCTGTTTGATGCCATAGTCCCTCCTTTTTTTTTCAGATAGAACTTGTACCCTCTGTTGTAAATTCTGCTTGCAGCCTTAAACTGAAAATACAAACCATACCCAAACCTTGTTTTAGTTTTGCAGTATGCCTGGAGTACATAGACTTTATATTTATATTTTTTTTTCTGTCAAGAAATTATGTAGCTGGTAACATGTGAAAAGCAAGGAAACAAAACAAAAAGAGAATGAGCAAATATTTGAAGGACCTACTATTACTGCATAGACTGTGGTTAGAGAGCACTCACTGACTCTGTTGGTCTCGGTGGCTGGTAGTGACCTGCGGAGATTAACCATTTAAAAACCAGAGACTTCTTGCTGTCCTCCTGGAGAAAGTTTGCACCGCACTTGTGGTTCTGTGGTTGTTTGTGAGGCGAATGAAGCATTCACACAATCCAAAAAAGCAAAAGCTTTAAAACTCCTTTTTTTTGCAAGCACTATTACTGGAGAGACAGAATCATGTGGTTTGTGACCTCACAGTGCTCAAAGTGAAGTGGGACTGCCTACCACTGTGGCTTTTTTCCCCCCTTGCTCTTGCTCTCTCTTTCTCTCTCTCTCTCTGACAAAAGGCTTGTGGTAAGGCCCTTCCTGGCATCCAGAAGGATATAGCTATTTAATTTTTGTGACTCATGAGGATTTGGATAGAATACAAATGCTGAAGGAGCTCAAACTCCTGTAAGGTTAAGCATTTGTAGAGCAGAACTCTGCAGTTAGGGGCTTTCCTTTTTATTCCCCCCCAACCCCCACTTTTTTTTTTTTTGCCTGCTCCTTTTATTTAGTTCATTATTGTGTCTGTGGAAAAGTGAGCAAAATTGGCTCAAGAGGCTGTGTGAAATTCTGAACAACAGTGATGATTTACAATAATTTACATCTTTGGATTGTATCACTTTCTGGGGTCTGCTTCATATTTGCTGGGTGATTGGAGTCCTTCTGTTTTTCTTTTTCCTGTCTTCTTAAACTTGTGAATCTGTAACTCATTGTAAAAAAGTTTACCTTTCTTAAGGTCTGGTTGCAAACTGCTTGCTGGGCTTGACTGTAATTGGCTGTCATGAAAGTGTTAGTCTGGGGATTCCTTTTACAAATGTTAAATCATGTCTGTCTAGTTTATGTATGATCAATATTAGATGCTGGCTCCTACAGTATGGATTAAATGTAATTAGCATCATTTATATTATTTATACCTTTCTTTTATGACTAGTTTAAGGATTTATAAAAATCAATGATAAGAATTGTAACAGATTATTTGCTGAATTTTAGTTTTCTTTATGCTTGTAATGATTTTTATTTTTCAAGGAATTGTATTCATTTTGCATAATTCTTTAGTTTATTTGGATTTTAACTTTAAAAACAGAGGCTTCGCTAGCAAATCTTATACATGTATAAAGTAAACTTCTTATGTTGTAATTTAGATTGTTCAATATTACGTTTTATAAACTCAGAATAGAGTGGGTTAACAGAAGCTGTATTTTTTGTTTATAATGAAAGCTTTGAAATAAATTGCAAAATGCTGTGTGTAGCAAGAAATAATGCACACAGACAGAGTATGTTAGTCGTCTCGATTTGCTAATTCTGATTCAGAAGAAAATTGGAAACATCTTTGGGAAACTATCTCCTTTTTTACCCCTTTGGACATGTATGTATAGAACTCATTTTCTTATTAGGATGATTATATATCATAGGCAGAGAATTTCATATTTATGAATAGAGCTTCCTGTTTTCATCAGTTGGGAGCGATGGGGCATTTTTCAACAAAAATTATAAAGCTGAACAGACCAATCTTCTAGGCATTTTTCCCCATTTATCAGCCACTCTGAATTTGCATGTTAGACTTCTTCCTAGTGTGATAGTAACTAGGAGTGGCATAGAGTAAATGACTAGGAGGGTGGGCGGAGACAGTGAATTACAAAACATTATTTAGGGTAGATAATTGGGTAAGGGTTGGGAAACACCAAGGAGGGTGTTAGAGCCAAAATATCCTTGCCTATGGACTTCCAGCACAGTTCATTATCTGCTTTTGGTTTATATTAGATAAAGATAAATGTGCAGACATGTTCATAAGTTTCTTCACAAAATATTTGATTTGCCCAAAATGCACCAGGGAGACATGGGAATGATTTTAATCCTTTATTATTCACATGTCCAGAATTTTCCCATAACAAACTTTTAGTGATAGAACACTAAACATGCACTGTAGTGTTTTATTTTAAATATATATTTATGCCTCATTGTGTATGTAAACATTTTACATTGAAAAATAAAAGCTTTCATTTAATGTAATCATTCATACAAAAGAGAAAAGTTATTTAGTTACAGTTTTAAATAACTATGGTGTACTGGTATGATCTATATCTAAAGGAGGTCTTTGTTTATATAATTTGTGGAATTTCCAAATGTAGTTCCATATGCACTTACAATAGCAGCAGAATCAGGCAGTTGAAAAAATTTGGGTAGTCGCTGTACTATGGTAAATAAATGCTTTTTTAGTGTCTGTGTGAGGATTCTCTGATATCTTACAACCCCAACTATTAGCTAAATATTTTCTCCCTTTAATGTTTTTTAAAAAATATGTGCACGTTGGCCCTCTAACCTAACTTTGTAAGCATTTGAATAATTTTCAACATCTATGTATCTATTACCCATTTTTTCTCTTTGTGCGGGTAGCCCTCCTGCACATAATTTTTGGGTCAGGATAATTACTCATGTTATGTAAGAGTTTAGTAGATATTGTTAAATATGACTTTTATGTTTTGTGTGAGGCCCGTCAAATTCTGGCAGAAGAAAGACAGTGAAGTCATTAAAGATTGTATATTCATTATCCACACATTCTTTTTCTAAATTAAAAATATATCCACTTTGGAGCAAATAATTCTTGGTGATAACAATTAAAAAACAAGTGATCAAGGTACATATGTGATAATTGAGAGTTTGTTTAATTAGAAGTAACTTACCACATGTAATAAAGAGAGATTGATTCAGAAAAGTCACTGCAAATAAAGCTCTTGATTATGGATTTATACGATGCTTAAAATGAAAAATGGAAACCACAGAGTTTTCTGGTTGTTGTTTTTCAAAGACCCTCAAACTTCATTTTTGGGGATTATGTTAGTATTTTCTATGTTGACGTAAGTAACAAATTTAGGTCTGTTGTATAAATTATGTACTTTATTGCCATAGATGTGAAATACTCCTTTGAACTTGAAATCAATTTCAATAAGTAAAGACATTAGTTATCTTGCTCCCCCCATTACCTTGTATTTACTAAATTTGTCAACATTGGTCAAACTTTTTATATTGTATGCTGTTAGACTATATAACAGTATAATAGTTTTTTAAATGTTACATATAGTCATTGTTACCTTTGAATTATTTTTTTTATTTTCTGAGCTAATGAACCTATTTAGATTTAATAGTTTTATCAGTGTCAATATTGTGCTTATTTCTATGTGTGTGTGTGTTTTTTTTTTTATTGTTTTAACTTCTATTTGGTGCTGTTCTATTTTTCTCTTAATTGACAACAACAGGGCCAAAATGATTTGATGTAGGTTTTTTATTAATTGTAGACATTCTAATTTGGCTTAAATTTTTCTCACTGATAATGAGGTTTTTAGGAAGACACTTTCTTAATTTATTGTTTTAGCTTGGTATATGACAATTTATTTTTTGACTTTTTTTTGGATTTGATGTATAGCTATTTAAGCTGATACAGCATTTATTGGGCCATATATTGATGATTTGAAAAGTTTTTATATTAGTTAAATACATTATTAGTATTTTAAATTATGATGATTATGAGATATTAATTTTACTTTCTTATTTTAATGGGGTATGTCTGTGTACACAACTGCATGCATATTTCTGTGATCGTGTGTTCAGGGTATTATTTGTGTTATTTTTTGTAATGAGTATTCTTTTTCCTCCTCAGTTTGTTTTAATTAAATTATGTAAAAACCCAAAGCACCACCATGTCCATGATTGTTTGAACAAGTTCATTTGGTTAGTATTAGCAGCTATCTGTCTAAATGTGAGATTATGTGGGAATGAGATGCCAAAAGAGAAAATACTAAACTTTTCTATCTTCCTCGTACTCCCCCTCTCTTTTCCCCTTTTTTCTTCCCACTTTTCCTCCCTCTCTCCTCCAGGCTTTTTCAGTTTCTTTATCACTGTTTTGATAATTCTATAGTGTCTTAAGGTAGATTCTTAAGGTTCTAGTAGTAGATATTGACATTAATTCTCACTAATGAATACCTGGCAGGTTTGAGGCACCTAAGATTTCAAGGCGAATCATAGTTATGTCTACACTGTTATATGTGCACCTCATTTGTTAGATGGTATTGGCATCTGATTACACTGATTTTCTTCCTTTTTAACAGTTTTTAATTCCTTCCTCTATGTTAATTTACTTTAACATGCTGTTTCACATGACATTGGCAGTTTAATTATGAGGATTTGTTTTTCCACCTTTGACTGTTCTTCAAAGTGCAGAGTGATCCTTACTTGTGTAATGTAGCTGTATAAATAACTCACGTTTCTTATGATTATTAGAACAATTCATCTTCTAATGCTGTCATTTTTCTAAGAAGAAAAAAAAAGGCGAGAACTTGTAGAAAATATGGGAAACATGCTCATATGACAGCTGAGGATGTGGCTAGGCTAAAGCAGGAAACTACTACCCACAATGCAATGTTACATATACTACCACTTAATAAAATTTATATCAAACATGCTACTGACAAAACCAAAGAAAAATAATATCCCAACTATGCTAGTTAACATACTAAATCTATCTAGGGAAAAATGAAACTAATCTTTTTGGAACTTTGTATTTAGAGAATATAGTAAATGAAACCGGGGCATCATAGTACATTGGAGCTCTGTGGTAACTTTGTGCTGTGGGACTTGGTTGTAGGAAAACTGTCTTATAATGACAACCTTTTGGATATTAACTTTCTTGGGAAAGGCACAAAACGGCACCCCCTTTCTTTTTTAATTGAATTGTTGCAGTGTTAAATATAGTTAGAGGACATTGTCATTTGGTAAGTAAAATAAGTTAAATTAATGAGACATTCATGATTATTTAAATGTTTTATCTAGCCCAGGTATATTTCTTTCCATTTTGTTTTATGTTGTCTTTTATTGCCAGTTTGAGGTGGGGCTTGAATTGTCCACTGAAGCATATTTCTTTTCAGAGTAATTGTTTTTCTTGGTCTTTTTATTTATGTTAACCTACCTATAGCTTACCTGATCAACCCATATGCTTTACTCTAAAGAGAGTTAGTCTAAAGCAAAATGTAAACTGCTTTTATAATGTGGTTGAAAAAGATATTATGGTATCTTCTGAAAAGGTCAGATTTTAATATACTTAGGGTTTCTGTTTATAAATCTTAATCTTCTGTGCTCTTAGCTGTCAGACTATAGCAATTTTGATGAATTTAGTACCTTAGTAATTTAGATGAATTATGCGGCTTTACAAGGGAGGTTTTTAAAATTTAAAAAGGGAACATAGCAGAGTTTTGGATTGATAAATGTATAGAAATTTTATCAGAGAAAAAATAGAAAAGACTATTAAATTAGTGTTAGTTGTGAAAGATCCCCTCTTAGTATTCCAGCATATAAATTACCACTGTGTCAGATCTGGCATGGTAATTGTCATCTCATTATTTAAAGATTAATATATTATCTCTCTGTCTATATCTCTATTAAGGATGATTTGCTTAATTGTTTGAAGTAGTTTCTCCTTCAGAGACTGCTTATCAATACCAGCTGTGGCACTGTGGCTTTTCTCCATGGTCTCATGGTGGTCTTTGGAACAACGTTCTTCAACTTTGACAGGTGAGACAGAGGCTCTCCAGTGCCACTGCTTTTGGATGAATCTAGCTGTGGTTGGAGAGAGTGCATCTTGCCAAAATATATGGGTGAGACCACACACAGCCTTTAAAATAGTTATTGTAGGCTTATTTTTAGGGTTACATGTCTTGACAGTTCTTTTATTTGCATGCCAATTTCATTGCTGTGTATAGATTTTTCATTGGCCTTAGTAAAGGCGATTGCACATTTAGTCTCTATTTGTTAAGCCTTGTGTATAATTTACACTGGAAAATACTCTTGAATTCAGAAATAATTAACAATATAGAAAATATATTGAAAATGAGTCACTAGAATACTGGTCTTTTTGCTTCTATAAATTTGACAGTATTCCCTTTGGAAATCTCAATTTGCAAGATAGTTTAGTAGTCAAAAATTGCTCCAAATTGAACTTTTAGATCAAATAAGTTAGGAGAGAATGTTAAAATATTCATATTACTTCAATTACATTAATAGTAAAAAATTTATGGTTCTTGTTATTCAGAAGTACAGCTTTTATAATATTGATACAATAACGTATTGTTCAAAATGTAAGTTTTACACATTAGTAAAAGCTTGAAACATTGAAACAAATGGCCAGAGAAGTCAATTTCTTAATGCATAATCATAAAATGCAAGCCATCTAGTCTTTTTATGGGATGATTAAAACTTTATTCAACTTAGTGAACTGTAAAATTGACTGTATGTTTAAAAAAAGTATGTTTTGTCTTCTAAAACTGGCTTTTTTAGTCAAGATCTCTCTTTGGACTTCTATAAAATGTTTCCTTTTATAAAATACATTTGTTTAACTATTTATGATTCTTAAGTTATTAGTGATAAGAAGCTTAACTTCTTGAGCCCTGGCAGGTAATTAGTTACAAGACTTTTCACTTGATGATCAATGCATGTTGGTTAGTTATGTATTTATAAAATATTGTAAGCAGCTAAGATAAGATTACAGTTTCATTGTAGATATTCTTATAGGGAAAACAGAATCTATGAAGATAATTGGAAATTCAGTTTTCTCTCCACTATTATTGCAGTACCCTTCCATTGCTGAGTGGTCTGGCAGGAAACTACTGGGGAAATTGTGTTCCTACAGCTTTTACAGAGCACAAGTTGTGGAAAAAAGAGAGATCATAGTATATACAAAAAGGTTATCTAAAGAAAAGTTTGGCTCTTAACTTTCAGGAATTGGTCGTATATGTTAACCTTGATTGGATGCTATATTTTTAAAAAAGTTTTATAAGTTATTTTTAGGATATTTGAGGAAAATGGCTATTAGTGATACTATGGCATATTTATTGAGTGTGATAATACTATTGCATGTATATAATAGGAAAATATCCTTATTAAAAAAGGTGAATGATGAGATATTTTTAAGAAGTTAATACCATGATTAAGCAAAAATATACATAAAACAAATGTGGCATAAATTAACAATTGGTGAGTCCAGGTAAAGGGTATACAGACATTCATTTTACTATTTTTCACCATAAACAGTGATTTCTGAAAGGTGAAGCATTTTGTGGAGAAGGTATATAGAGATTTATTTTATTTCAAAGTGAAATCAGATAGGGGAAATTCATTTATTTGTATAGTTTTTAAAAATTAGGTGAATATGATGGGTTGTGCATAACAATTTTAGATTTTAGTTTATAGTTTTAGTTTTTACATTTTTGTTCTATTCACCATAAAAAATCTAATTTTCACAAATTTATACATGGCAAAAATAAATAAGAAATAGTATAATATTTTTGAAAATACCAACTTTTAAAATTTTACATTTGTGTAACAGTAACTCAGAGCTAGACCAGTATGCTAGAGATTTCTAGAGGACCAAAACAATTATGATATTGTCATTTATTTATTCTGAATTGGATGCTTTTAAAATAGAGGGCAGGGCAAAAATAGGTTTACAGTTGTTTGTATGGAAAATAATACAATAATTAATAATAATACACTGTGTTTCATGTACTCACAACTGTATACCTACTTTTGCCTTACCCTCTATATAAAAGTACCTTAAAAAGTTCATTCACATTAAATTCATACTTCTGAATATTACTGCTACTAAATTGTTTATATACTATTCACTTCAGTTGTACTCTTTGAAAAAGTATTTTAATGGGCAGAAGCCTATATTCTCTATGCAAATTATTAATTCTGAATTTGTATTATGCTAGTTAATATCCTAAGGAGGTCTGTACATTTTTTCTCTAGAGGGTGAAATAGTAAATATTTTTTGTTTTATGAGACATAGAGTTTCTATTCACTGCTCTACTCTGCCATTGTGTCTGAAAGCAGTAAGTTAGACAATAAGTAAAACTTTATAAACAGGCAGCTGGCCTGCTGTACTTTGCCCACTCCTGCCACCTGTACTTCATGTATAGAAATGTGTGGCCCAGTGGATATCTTCTTTTATAGAAAAGGCAAGAATAGTTTGAAAAATGATCAAATTTTTAATATTATAATGGAATTTTTTCTTAAAGTATTTATAAAATCTGTTTTGTTCATTTATTTTTATGTGAAAGATGACATCCATGGTCCTTCATAACTTTTTTTTGAATTGAATAGTGCAATTTCATCTTGATCATGTAATTATTAAATAATAGAGGCCTGGTGCATGAAATTCATGCACAGTGTGTGTGTGTGTGTGTGTGTGTGTGGGGGGGGGTGGTGTTCCCCTCAGCCCAGCCTGCACCCTCTCCAATCTGGGACCCCTCAGGGGATTTCCGACTGCTGGTTTAGGCCCAAGCCTGGGGATCGGGCCTAAACCGGCAGTTGGACATCCCTCTCACAATCCTGGACTGCTGGCTCCTAATCGCTCACCTGTCTGCCTGCCTGCCTGGTCACCCCTAAGTGCTCCCCATCCCCCCCCACCCCCCACTGGCCTGATCGCTCCTCACTGCCTCTGCGTGCTGGACTAATTGCCCCTAACTGCCCCCAGTTGCCAGCCAGGTTGCCCCAACTGCTCCC